AGGCTGGAAATGGGGTTTAGTGGAAGGATGAAGTGTAGATGTGTGACATAATAAGAGAGGGAGATATAGAGTGTGAGCACGCGCACATACTCATATGCATGGGGATGCATGTGGCCCTCGGCAGGAGTGGTCTAATCATTGAGTTGATGCGAACTGGCAATTTGATGCATCCTAAATCAGACAGGTGGAAACACACACAGCTCTGTCAGTCATTTAATGAGTAGCATTAGCTCAGATACATGTTAGTTGAGAAAACATTCACTCGGAGCTGCACTCACCAGTCAAGCATGCTCTACCCAATAAAGCGTCTTCGCTGAGCAGAAGCAAAGCTTTAGCAGGATAATCTTAAGGGAATATAGTATGTTAGAGCAAGGATGGATAAATAAAATTAGTAAGCCACTCTCCTGCTTTGATGTTGTGTGAACACATAGTACTGCACACAGGGTCCAAAATGAACACCGGCTAAGTTCCAAATGTGTGGAAAATACAGCTTTGGTGCATAGGTGAATTTAGTTATTTGTTAGTTAGGTGGTAACTTTATAAGGAGTCATGCTGGTCTTTTTGTGCTTTTATGCACAAAGTAATAAGTAACTTGGATTCTAAACTAAATCTTTTTCTCAATGCTTTTGTGACCAATGCAGTTATGACGGATAGAGACTGACTCATATTTATATGATACTGTGAATGACAATGACCTGATCAGTTTGTCACAAACAGCCATGGGAAAATTCTGTTTTCATAGGGATGAGGGTATTTTTTTAGGGTATTTGTTAGTATGAAATATCTCAATCAAGTTGCTGTGGCAAAATGTTAATTTTGAACCCTGACTGCACATCGCACACCATCCAGGTTGATTGGCGCCCCAATAAATCGTTTCTGCATCTACCATCTCCATCAACGTGCCAGGTTACCGTTTCACTGAAAGCTGGCTGGAAGAGGAGAAATATAAAATGTAACAACAAGCACTTTGCAATGCCCATCGTGCAAAAAAAAACACACCAATTGTGTGCTAATCGGCCCTCACCAACCATTCTAAAGGTGACCTGGGCCAAATATTTTGTTAAAACTTGTTTTGTCACAGAAAGTAAAACATAGGTATCTAGAAAAGGAACAAGCTAACTGAAAGGGCTGATGTTTCATTCTAGGGCTTTTAAAAGGCAGACTGTCGTGTTGTACCTGGACCTAGAGTAGCTGGTATAGAGATTCAGTATTCATGTACAGAGATTCTGATCTCACTGAAGTAGCTACTGATACTATGGATTTATGGCAGCGGTGAAAACAAGTTAAATATCAAGGGCATTTCATTTCATATTACAAGAAAAGGGTGTTTAAATATAGATATATGTGTAAATGTATAGTTCAGTTGACACAGAACCATGTTGTTCCAGTTGTTCTGCATTATTAAGCAAAAATGCACAAGCACTTTTTAAGCCTGGACATTCTATTGTGATTTATACTTTTTATGGGATTTACAAAGGAAAACAGCCACCATAAAATTATTATAAAATGAATCTTTTGCTATCCACCATATTTTTAATGCAAGATCGTGTGCGTCTATTTGTAACTTGAATGTACAAGGCTTTTAGTGACAAATATAAAACCTTTTTATTTTGCTCCCAAAAAAATAAAAAATAAATAAACATTACATTAAATATTAGTAATTATAGCAATTATAAATTATATTTCTTGCCGCCTTAGAATTGCAGATATTGTCAGAATTGCGATATTTTATATTTTTATTTGACTCTGATATAATAATAATAATATTAATAATAATAATAATAATAATGAAATAATAATGATATGGCTAGGAACTATACTCTCATTCCGGCGTAATAATCAAGGAACTTTGCTGCCGTACTATGGGTGCAGCAGGCGCAATGATATTACGCAGCGCCTGAAAATAGTCCCCAGCACGCCTGGTGCAAGCAGGTGGTCACGTTGGTTATGTTGACAGAAGTTGGCCTATTTTCAGGCGCTGGGTAAAATCATTGCGGAGTGAGAGTATAGTTCCTAGCCATATCGGCCTAGAAAATCGCAACTTTTCATTTTCCGTTGGTCTTAGTACACGATGTAACTACAGAAGAGTCAAGTTTTAAATAGGAAAAATATCGAAACTCTTTGGTCATTTTTGAGCGAGATGCTAACGGTCTAATCAGATTCAATGATCTATGCTAAGCTACAGCTAAAAGTGCTACCGCCAGACCTGGAGATCGGCTGAATGGATTCGAAAACGGTAAAACTCAACTGTTTAATTCTAGGGGAGTTGGAAAATTTTCAAAATATTTCAAAAATAGTGGAGTGTTCCTTTAAGCTCAGTAAAGCTGCATTTATTCTACAGTTATATTGTGACATTTTATTACAATTTAAAGTAACTTATCTGTTTTAAATATATTTTTAAATGGCAAAGCTGAATTCAGTATCAGTATCATTCTTCAGTATCAAATTATTTTTATTATTAAGTTATTGATGTTGCTTAAATAAAAATTAGTATATTAATAAGTATTCTTATTTTCAATGTTGAAATGGTTTTGTGTAAATGTTATCATTTTTTTCAGGATTATTTGATAAACAGAAAAATAAAAAGAACATAATGTATTTGAAATATAAATGTTTTGCAATATCATGAATGTCCAATGTCACAAAATGTTACTTTTTATCAAATTAATGCATCCTTGCTGAATAAAAGTATTATATATTTTTTCAGACTTACATACTCCAGATTTTTTAGTTGTAGTGTATCATTGTTTCCACAAAAATATTAAGCAGCAAATTATTTTTATTTCTTTTAACATTCAGAATAATAAACATGAGCATCAAATCAGCTTATTAGAATGATTTCCAAACGATCATGTGACAATGAAGGCTGAAAATTTTGCTTTATCATCACATTAATAAATGACTTTTATTTACACACACACACACACACACACATATATATATATATATATCAAGGCTTTTAGTGACAAATATAAAACCTTTTTATTTTGCTCCCAAAAAAATAAAAAATAAATAAACATTACATTAAATATTAGTAATTATAGCAATTATAAATTATATTTCTTGCCGCCTTAGAATTGCAGATATTGTCAGAATTGCGATATTTTATATTTTTATTTGACTCTGATATAATAATAATAATATTATTAATAATAATAATAATAATAATGAAATAATAATCATCAGTTTAATCAATAATAATTAATAATCAATTGTTGTTGACCAATTTCAGTAACCTGTCTGTTAATTGAGACTTTCATTTGTGGAATTAAGCATGGCTCACGGAAAATGGCATGTTTGTACAGTGGTATCAGCAACTGAAAACTTTTGTTTTTGCGTGATGACACATCTATGCCGCTAGGTGTCAGTATTAATCCAAGAGGGCTGCCATATCATCCAGCACAACATAAACAAGAAAATATTTAGTACACATTTAAAAGAAGTTAGAACCAGCAGGAAACAAGCTAGCATATCTGTTGTCTTTGAGTATTAAAGTGTTATCCACTCCATTTAATTACGACCCTTTTGTATTATGCTACTTAAAAAAATACCACCCCTGCACACAACTTGTAATTTGTACCATCCATTAATTTAGCTCAAGTTTCTTTCCCCTCTTAGAGTCTTAGACACGAGGAGGGGCTGGCTGCATGATTGGCAGTCCTGAAAGAGAAATGCTGAGACTCACTTTGTTTACAGCAGTCAGTAATCTCTTTTTCTGCACAGAGCACTGACATGGATCTCTTTATTGCTTTCCCATATCTTGTCTTTCTCTCTCTTTTGCCCTCTGCTTCTCTCATTTTCTATCTCATCCTGTGAATGCTTTCTCAACTTGTACTTATCTCTCTTTGTTTCTCCCTCCTCCTCCTCTCTCTCTCTCTCTCTCTCTCTAAAGGGGTGGGGAATGTTCTTGTGAAGAAAGCAGGTGCAGTGCCTCCTCTTTCTCTCTTTTTCCTCTGTCTGTCTCTCTCTTTCCTGGCATCAGCAGTAGGGGAGAGTAGAAGGCTCTCTGTGTATGTGTCTGGCTGCAGTCTCGTAGGCTTGAGTCGCGGTAAAATCCCACAGGAGATTAGAGCGGGAACATGCGCTAGTCCGGACTCTTTAGAAATGGCAGCCCTAGGAGAGAGCAACAGACAGGCAAAACAAACACATCCGTAATGAGGAATAGATGTATGTTGTCTCATGGAAAACCTGCAGTCTGTCTCTCTCTCTCTCTTTTTTTTAACCTTCCTCGTTTTCTCTATCTGTCTGTCTTCGACAAGCCCACTCCTCCCTCCCTTCCTCCCCTCCATCCCTTTGCTCCGCTCCTCTCCCTTTCTCTCTCTCTCTCTCTCTCTCATTCTCTCTTACGCTCTCTCAGTGGAGGAATGTAGATAGAGGCTGAGTGTACGCCCGCTGCTCTGCACGATATCAACGGCTTGTTCTACGGCGTTGGGTCGCTCACCAGATGCTGTTCAGAACGGATTTGTACTGCTAACGGATTTGACCATCCACCATCTCTTCCTTGATAACTCTGCACCTGCCACTGCCTCCTCTGCCGGGGCTCAGCTTGCACGTACCAGGATCCGTGCTGCAGGTCCCTTACTCCCATAAGGATGATATAAATCAGCAGGAGCTTTGGTCGTGGAAAAAGGGACATATTGCTTCACGGTCAATGCCGAGTCCTCCTCCGTAAGGGAACCACCTTTCTTCGATATGTATAGCTGACTCAGCGCTCGAATACAAGACCATGAGTCAGATCAAGACCTTGAAAAATGAATTGGTGAGAACGACAGAGCCAGAGAGGAAAAATATGAGCCAGTTTTGAACTTTTACTGAACTCTACCTTCAATATTTAAATGAATGGAGGTATGAGATTAGAGGGTAAATCTAACGGTGGTGTCATCTGCAAAAAGAGGGATTTGATAATCTGACGACAGAGAGTGCTGCTGCAACGGCTGGTGCTCGGAGTCAACATGCAGACAATTTCACTCCTCCCTTTCCTTTTGCCTTCTTTGCTCAGCATCTTTATTTAACATTTGTACTATTTTGGTGATTTTGCGGTGAGCTGGAAGTCATCTGGACGTATTGGTGGAACTGGACTAAAGGACTGCCCTTTTTACTGGATTCTGCAACCGCTGAGATTTCTACCTCTGGAAATTCTAATGGGTGTATGCTCTTGTCTGATTGTGAGTGTGTATATGTGTGTTAGTTGTGTGTGGATGTGATTTGTCTGCCTTGATGTGTTCGTAACTATTTCTGTGTTCTTGCGGTTGTGGTTTACTTTTTTCCAATGTCTGGCATTACTGGCCAGTGTTTCGCCTTGTGCTGTCCATGTCTGCTGAGCACCCGGCCTTGGGGTTGACCCTTACCGTGCCACAGGCGAGATGAGTGACAGCTCTGGAACAGTGAACAACTCGGGGGCTATGGTACTGGAGGAGCCTGATGGGAGAGGTGGCTCCGGTGGACGTGAACAAGCCCAGGCCCCTGCTCGTGGTGGGATTTTAAGGTGTGGGAGCTGTGCCCTTTGGCCCCGCCAACAGACTTGGCTCTGCATGGTTCCACTTCTCATTGGCTTCATAGGCCTAGGGCTGAGTCTGATGCTGCTGAAATGGATCGTAGTGGGTTCTGTGCGGGACTATGTGCCTACTGACTTGGTGGACGCCAAGGGTATTGGCCAGGACCCCATCTTTCTGTCCAAACCTAGCACTTTTCCTAAGGGATCTGACACCACCACCACCACAACCACTATTGGAGGGGTCAGCTTGGTCAGCCCCACCGTAACCACTGTGGTGCGGAGCAGGACTCGAACAGGAACCCCTCCCAATGTTCCCCCAAGAGGTGGTGGTGCATCCGGCAGCCAGGTGACACAGAAAAGCCCGTCTACGCGCTTTGTCACACGTAATCCCACCTTTATGACCACCGTGGCCTCTACCACAACATCTACGGTCCAAACGTCCACCTCCAGCCCCTCTCCCTCCAACCCTGCCGTTCTAAACGACTCCACCCAAATGTGGACCAGAGAGCAGTCATCCACTGAAAGGCACGTGACCATGCCTGGTCGAACCCACGTCAGCCGCAAAACACGTAAGTTTGATATTTCTGATAGGTTCTTGATAGTTTTTGCTATGGCAAGAGCCGTTCAGTTCTGCTTCTGGTGGGGATTGTTGGTGACCAGATTACAGTTTTGCATGGTACTGTTAGCATGTATATATTGTGTTAATGACATCCCTGTTCCCAGACGCGAAACCTGACGGACTCTTGGCCGTGTGCAGTCCCGTTTATCATGTCGCCAGGGAGTGGCAGATACACTAATGACAAACAACGACACTGACCACTCCCTGTGTTTCAAAATATGTGATATAGTGAATCGAGAAATATAAAGACAATTGCATAGGTGTAATAGTGTAAAAAAGCTTTTCTTTTCTTATTTTACATTTTTTTCACTGACTGCAGCACATGAAAAAAGCTTATGTGTGAATCAGGATGTCAGTTAGTGAACGTCTGAAGATGTCTCCTTTAGCTCTGCTTTGCTGATTCTCTTTTCATAATGGTTAACTAGAAGAGCTTCGAGCGTTGTGTCTAATGATGGAGCCATGCTTTGCATACATTTATGTAATCGACAGATATTAAATGGCACATTTTGCTGTTCATTTAAAAACTGCAGGAGCCTCTGAAAATAAGAAAACTGTATCATGTGCTAATGGTACACCTCAGTGTAATATTAATGGCATTTTTATTGTCTATGCATGCATAAATTGATCATCATGCCTGTTTACCTGACTCTAAGGTTTGCTGTCCATATGTGATTCTGCTGTGGGATTATATTGTATTCCTATACTGTAGTCATCAGAATGCCCGGATAGAGATGCGTTCACAAATAATGATCACATTAATTTGCATACAGTGAACAGCCTGTGCACAGTGACATTTAGGAAGTTTGATGTTATGTCTGAATACTTGTCAGCCTCTTTGTATTAGAGTTTTTGTTCTAGTGCTGTGAATATCGTAATATTATTTGAAGAGCCCTTTCTTTGAATTCAGCTGGTAATATTGGATCATAATGTCGGGTAGTAAGAGGTTGTCATGCCTCACCACTCTATGAGATTACTTCACTCTCCATGCTTAATCCAGATTAATTTAACTTCATTCATGGAAGCTGCTACTGTTACATCTACTGTTAGTCTTTATGAAACCTACCTTGTAATGACTCTGGAAAAGCCGCTCTGTATTTTCATGTGTGTGTTTTATAAGAAGTTTAAAATTACAGGGCATTTACGATAAATTTAAGTTACCAGATGTTTTTATGTGTTTTGAATTAAGGAAAGCATAATTTTGTCAAATGTAGTGTCTGTTTTCAGAGCACAGCAAGGGTTGCCCAGATGCCCACCAACAACATTGGTGACAATGGGAAAAAACATAGATGAGATTTTGTAAAATTTGTAAGAAGCATTAGTTAGAAAGAAAACTACAGACCAACGAGTACTGTTTTGCATCAAAACACTTTTGCAACATAAGTGTTTTTATAAATGTAGTTATATTATAATTTGTTTGCATAATTACATTTTGTGAAAAAAAGCTGGAATATAATTTTTTGTAAATAATTTTTTAAACAAAAAATGTCAAAAGCAAATAATTAATGGAGAAATTAAAAAAAATTCTTGCAAATACAAAAATGTTTATTAAAGCCAGCAGAAAAAAACAATAATCCTAACTGTTGAGCCCAATTTTTACAAGCGCAAAGAGTCTCTGTTTATAATAAAGTAGACCCCCCTCAACTCACAGTAATACAAAAGAACCCATGAATGTCATGAGTGTCATAAGTCTTTAAACAAGTCTTTATCGTATACTTTGGTTGTACAATAATTCATTACAATTGCAATTGTCTGACAGAGGATATCTTATTCCTTTATGTCCCCTAGCAGCAATTGCCCACCTTTATCAATAACACAGAGAAAAAGATGACTAAACCATTAGTGATCCAAATGCATTTGAGAACTCACAGCTGTGGCTCATCTTAAAACCCATTATTGCTCACCATATTTGATATTAGAGCTAGAAACAGATCTTTCAGTGTAAACTGTCCAGGTGAAGAGGCCATATGTTTTCATAGAAAATTATTCTACAAGATCGGCTATGGTGAATTGAGTGGCCTGTAATTTTGTTTTCCATTTTGAACATATGTTAGTTGTCTTTGGTTGATGAAGTGGAAGTTCCAGTGCTGCTGCCATGGATCTGTTAGTGCTGTAGCTCATACAATGAGCAAAGGTAGTTAAGAGTTGAATGCAAATTTGCAATTGGTGCTAGGGGCACCTTGCGATGAACTGACCGTATAAAAGCCATATCTCAATGTGATCGATTATGATGTTGGAGAATCAATTGTAGCATTAAAGGTGGGGTAAGCAATTTCTAGTAGCCAATGTTGACATTTGAAATCACCAAAACAAACACGCTCCTACCCCAAAAGGGTCTCGCCCCTATTTTGATAGCTCCACCCCACACATACGTACGCAACCCAGGCAACAATTAGTTCTGTGAAACAAAGCAAAACCAATGTTACACCGTGTCTACACCGGACGCGAGTGGCGCGGTGCGACAAAATACTATGGAACTCATTATAATCAGTGCTGCTGTCTACACCATATATATATATATATACAGTATATACATATCTATGGTCTACACTGGATACGGCACGACACGACAGATCCCTGACAAAAAACTGCTGCTGCGTTCAACTCATGACGTATTGACACAAATTTAAAATGATATTCAACGGTCGCTTTGTCGCGTCCAGTGTACTAGACATACTTTAGCTGTTGCGGCGCAGACACAGTGTTTTACTCACCTATCGAGATGAAACAAAGCAACCTTTGCAGTCCGATTGCAGGCCTTCCGCTCCTTGAGTTCTCTCCAGCGCTGGAAATCTGATCCGATATTTACACGGGTCCTACTTCTTGCCTTATCGTAAGCCTTCTTTTGTTCCGCAGACGTTTTCCTCTTTTGTTTTTTATCCGCCATCTCTATCTGTCTGTCACTCGGCTCGGACTGAACGCTCTGTCCTCCACATCATGAGTAGTTACTTACCCTTACTGCTGATTGGCTACACCCCACCTTTAAGTGAAAACAGCTTTGGTTGAAACTGGCTGACACAATTCCTGGTTCCAGCTGGCTGCCATTTAATGACCATTGATTCTTCCTTTGTTTTGTAACATCAGGCTGATTGCAAGGATTAGTTCATGTCATCTACAGTACCACACTGTATTGAGCATTTACTACATTGTACCACTGTTTTCTCTTGAAATACAGATGAGAGTGGAATCATTTGACGATGCTGACATTAAATCATTTCCAGTGTTAAATGACCTAAAATCATTCAGAATTCATGTTGTAAGATGAGGTGATTTATTTGCCTCGTCTGTCTATTTCCTGTTTTAATAAAAAGCCATAAAAGCACTCCCTTCCAGTGCCATTAGAGCTTAATTTCACTGAGACTATTTAAAAAAAATGCCAGTTTGATTTATCTTTTTTAGATCCCCTAAAGGAGGGATGAAGCCTTAAATATTAATGCTTAGAAAGAGAAACATGTTCAATATGTAGAAGAGCATGTGAATAATTGACAAGGGTGTCCTGAAAAATTATCAGGGAAAGGGATGAGAAATGTGCAGGGTTTTATAAATAGAGGTGGAGGAGAGGACGATGAAAGCAATGATATTTCATTGCTTCTTGCTGGTTTCATGGCACTTTCGAAGTGAAATGTCCACTGTGTGGTGCTAAAAGCGACAGCAAAGGTCTTTGTTAATCATTAATCTGCCCCATAATCATAATTTATGTGAAAAGGATTGAAAGTTGTTGATGTTTTCCTGCTACTAGTTTTCATTTCAGCTGGAAACTGCAGTGAATGTTTTTGGACTTTTGTGGAAATGTAGGTTTTTCCGATGAGTCTATGATGAAAATAAACATCTCCTTATGCCATTTCAAAACTGTATGACTTTCTTTTAACTGTAGAACATGAATAAATGATGACAGAATTTTTGGGTAAACTGTTCAAGTTGGTCTTTGCATGTTGATGTTAATGAACCTTGAATCCTTAATCCTTCATTTACATAATTTAACTTATTAAACCATTAAAGTTGAAACTGCTGTGTGGTTGCAGTGTCATACAGCTATCAATTGTATCTAATTGTCTTATTTTTTTCTAGGTTGTAATGTAAGCAACCTTATTTCTCCCAATGATTGAGTCTCATCTCAGTGTTCTAGATTTTATGGAAATGAAGGCCATTAACAGGCATTTGACCACTTTATGTGTTATTTTCAGTTTCAGTTACACTATTTTCAGTTTTAGGTTGAAATTAATGTTGCCAGCTGACATTTTTGCATGAGGGATGACTTTTAGAAAATAACAGTGATTATAAACTCCTGAAGGCCTGGCAGGATATTTGTGAAGTGTTGAACTCTGGTTCAAATGCAAATCATTTCTGTATTTTCCGTTTAGTTATGCATCGAGTAGCGCAATAATCTTGGACTTTAAATAGAGCTGACCGGCATGACAAATGAGGACCATAACCCTCAACAAACCATTCTGTTGTAGCTCAGCCTATCAGAGTTCAGGGATCAATTTTTCTCTCAGCCCAAAAATACAACCCAGCATAAAGGAACACAGCCCCACTGTGAATCTTGCTTATTACTGTTGCAGCTTAAAGGCTATTGAAATATCCCGGTCAACACGAAAGAACCCTGTAGGAAGATGTTAACCTACCTCTCAACCATAGTAGTGTCATTCTTATAGCAATACTGTACATTTAAATCAAGAAGACATGGAAGTAAATATATTAGGGATGTCAAGCTATAACATTATTTAATCAAATACATTTTTTTTTCAATTAATCGCACATCAATTTGGTCTGAGAAAGTAGCCCCAAAAGATAGTCTTTATTGTGTTAAATTAGAAAAGCAATGATTAGACATTACAAAAAAGTATCTCTAGAAACCTTTGATTCAAGACAGAATTTATCAGTATTAACATTTAAGGCTTTGTGTATGGGATTACATCTCTGCCACAATTCTGCGAGCGAAAGATCATATTT